ATGGGCTCCCGTCCCCCCCACCCCCCCCGCCGGGCTGCGGTGTTAAAGGCCCCGTGCGCGCCGCTCTGCATTCCCCAGGGGGGCCGAGGGGGCAGGAGGGAGCCAGGGCATAGCTGGGTGGGGGCAGCAGGAGCCATCCATGGGGAGAGGGGGGTCCCAGGGCAGGGACTGGGCTGGAGTGCAGGGGGAGGAAAGCTCTGCATTCCCCAGGGGGGCCGAGGGGGCAGGAGGGAGCCAGGGCATAGCTGGGTGGGGGCAGCAGGAGCCATCCATGGGGAGAGGGGGGTCCCAGGGCAGGGACTGGGCTGGAGTGCAGGGGGAGGAAAAGCCAGGTCCTACCCCTGCCTGGCCCCTGCTTCTGGGGGGACGTGCTGCCCTGGGAGGCAGGGGGACACCCAGAGCCGCTGTTCATGGATACATTCACGGGGGTCAGGTACCTTGCATAAGGCACCATCCCAGGACTCACCCTGAAATGAGCAGAAGCGGGCTTATGGGGAGTGTGGGGCGAGTCCACCTGCGGAACTCCTCGCCGGAGGATGTGGTGAAGGTCAGGACTTTAACAGAGTTCAACAAAGAGCTAGATACATTCACGGAGATCAGGTAACCGGCATAAGGCACCATCCCAGGAGTCTCTGTGAAATGAGCAGAAGGGGGTTTATGGGGGATGGGAAGTGTGGGGAGAGTCAACCTGTGGAACTCCTCGCCGGAGGATGTGGTGAAGGCCAGGACTTTAACAGGGTTCAAGAACGAGCTGGATACATTCATGGAGGTGAGATCCAGCAATGGCTGTTAGCCAGGATGGGTAGGGAGGGTGTCCCTGGCGTCTGTGTGTCAGGGAATGGGCAACAAGAGAGGGATCCCGTGAGGATGCCCGGTTCTGTTCCCTCCCTCCGGGGCATCTGGCATTGGCCACTGTTGGCAGACAGGACACTGGGCTGGATGGACCTTGGGTCTGACCAGTGCTTTTTTTGTTAAAAAAAAAGAGGAGGCGGGTGCTGGTACTCCAGGGGGGGAAGGGGTGGGGCCAGCATTGCCCTTTTAAGAGAGGTGGCCCATTTAAGACACGCTGCCTTGGCAACGGTGTCGACATTTGCATACAGAGGTGCCAGTATCCTCCGTTCTCTCCAGCTAAGCTCTGACTGGAGGAGCCGGTATTGCATCTGGAGGTACTGGGCAGTACCATCGCAAAAAAAGCAAGGGGGCTGACCCATTCGTAGGTGTGGGTCTCTATTTGCTCTGAGCTGTCCCCACACTATAAGAACCAGGGGGTCACCCCGTGAACAGGCAGCAAGTTTAAAACAAACCAAAGGAAGTTTTTTTCCCCTTTCACGCCGCTCACCGTCAACCTGTGGAACTCCTCGCCGCGGGATGGGGGTGAAAACCAGGACTTGACCAGGGTCGTAAAAAGAGGGAGATAGAGTCACGGTGGTTAGGTCCATCAATGGCTATTGGACAGTTGACATTGTGGGATGCTGAAGGTTTGACCCTTTTGAACCTGAGCGTCTGTCTTTGAATACTTGCCAGACCGACCCCCAACCGCCTGCCGAATTCGTACCACGGTGAAACGATACATTGATCCAAATTTAAACCTGTGATTTGAAAGACCCCCTCAATATTCTTCAGGGGGATTCTAGCCAAATGAAATGTGAATGACGTAAAAGTAGCCGGACTATGTTAGAGCAGCCTCGTATCCTGTTTTCCGACAGCGGCCAATGCCAGGTGCGCCGGAGGTGGCGAACAGAGCCTCTGACAAACCGAAGCTGGAGACACCATCCCTACCCGTCCTGGCTAATCGCCATCGATGGACCTAATCCCCATGAATCGATCTAGCTCTTTTTTGAACCTTGTTCAAGTTCTAGCCTTCACCACCTCCTCCGGCGAGGAGTTCCACCGGTTAACTGTGCGCTGCCCGAAGCAAAATGTCCTTTGGCTTGTTTTAAACCTGCTGCCTGTTCATTTCTTTGAACTCTGTTAAGAAGTCCTGCTCCTCACCACATCCTGGGGCAAGGAGTTCCACAGGGGAACCGAAATACCGCCGTAACTCCGCTGCAGTTCCGCTCGAGCGTCATTTTCTGTTTAAAAGGGGGCTCTTTGGGGAGTGAAACAATGAATCTACCAACAGCCTGGAGATTTTCTGAGCCTCATACAGGTTGTGTGTGTGTCTGGGTGTGGGTGTGGGTATGGGGGTGTGTGTTGTCCAATTGGGGATCGTTTGCGCAATGATTTTCTGAGTAACTGGCCCTGGAAAGGCCCCCAAAAAAGTACCATTCAACTGTCCTGTGTGTTTTTTTCCCCACACGTAGGACACGACCCTCTCAAACTGATCTCTGATCTCCCGGGATGGATCTCCATGCACGGCACCCGGCGCCCCTTTGAGGAAACCGCGTTGAGAAAAGCGATTCCCGTTCGAGGCTGGAACGGCAGATCGGTGTGCACCAAGGTGACGCGCTTAGCCGAGTGGACTCGGCAGGGCGCTGGGGGAAGGATGGGGGGGGGGCTCCCGGAAGGGGCGGGGCCAAAGGCCGCCGGCCCTCCGCGCTGCCCGGAGCACATGGGGTGTGCACCAAGCACCGTCCCCTCTAATTTTCCCCGTCCATGTGGAATAAATTTTGTTCCGTGCGCCCAGGCGTGCGTAGATGTGCACCACCGGTAGATGTGGGCCGCTCTGCTCGTCGGATCGCTCCTGGGCGCCTCCCCCACACATGCTCCGTGTGCAAGGACAGCTGGTACCGCAAGGTAATATTTTCACTTGTGTTATCTAAAAGTTTACAAGGTATCAGGACATAAGCAATCAATTAGTAGCCTGACAGTGGAAAGAAACGTCTCACCTTTCCTGGTTGTATGTTTCTTCATTAAGCTAGTTTGCACCTTCCTCCAAAGCATCTGGGTATCAGACAAATCTGGACAGTTTGTCTGCTCTGATATGGCAGTTAATTTGTTTTTGGTTGAGAGAGCTCTAACCGTCTAGACATCCTCGCGTCACTCAAGCAGGTGGTTGTAGTCATCTGTTTATGAAACATACCTGGACTCACCCATTAGTCTTATGGGACCATACCAGAGCAGTGTCTTTTTGGCTCTTCTGCAAGGGTTGTGGCTCTTTTGACAGAAGGTCCTGTCCATTTTTTGCTTTGCCAGAAGAGGCAATGCAAATCAAGCTCTTATTAGCATATTGTTGTGCTTCATTTGCATAATCTATTCTGAGCCGTTTTTGTGCAAGGGGTTTTTGCGTAAAAACAAGTAGTGTAGACGTGTCCATTTTGAGCAAAAACCCCTTTATGCACAAGATCCTTATCCCTCTCCGGCAGTAGTGGGAGTGCGTCTGGGACCAACTGATGCAGCAGTGTGATAACATTTGCGTCATCATGTCTCACCTGATGGAACACGTGCCTGATGCCGCTATTCCTGGCTTTCACTCTCCTTCCCATTCGCCCTCTCTCTGCCCCTCCTGCCATGCCTCTGCTCCCTCGCTTAGTAATGCCCATGCCCCCTCCCCAAGTGATACCCATGACCCCTCCTCCACCCCCTCGCCAAGGGCGTGACCCCGGTTTCTGATACGTCCCCGCCCGCCCGCGACCTCAGTGAACGGCGCGTTCTCGGCTCTTTCCGCAGAGCGGAGGGCCCCGGGGTCCCCGACCTCCCGTGCTCCCCGGGCCGGATCCGGATCCTGGCTCCCGGATCTCCAGGGCGTGGAGGGAAGGGAGACCCTTCGAACCATGGACGCAGGTGAGGCGCGGGCGACCGGGATGCAGAAGGGTTCGGTCCTGGGTGTGGGGAGTCGGGGGGGTCCCCCAAAAGGTTCCATGTGCCCCCCAGAATTGGACCTCGGCTTGCACATGTCTTCCGCCACCCTGCCCTCTCAGCTTCCCCCGGATATCCACCCGGTGCTCGCCTACTATTCAGCGTTCGGACGGGCGGTGGGGGCGGAACCGGGCCAAGCCCCGCCCCTTCCAGAGCCAAGCCCCGCCCCTTCAGGAGCCAAGCCCCGCCTCCCCCTGTCCTGTTTTCATGGGTGGTTGAATGAACCTAGCAGTGAAAAAGGGGACTCTCTAGCCCCGCCTCTTCCACATGATGCCCCGCCCCCTTCCAGAGCAAAGCCGCGCCCCTTCCAGAGTCAAGCCCCGCCTTCCCCTGTCCTGTTTTCATGGGTGGTGGGTGAACCTAGCGCTGGGGGAGTGGACTCCCTAGCCCCGCCTCTTCCAGAGCTAGGCCCCGCCCCTTCTAGAGCTAAGCCCCACCCCCTTCAAGAGCCAAGCCCATCCCCCCAGGGAAGGTCCCTAACCTATCACCCCGAAGGATGGGGAAGGCGGGCAGAACGTGGAGCGGGGGGCGGAGGATGGGCGGAGCCACGCTTAGCAAATTAGGAAGGCAGCACCTTCCCCTGCCTCTTATACCCGCTGTCCCTGCCCGATCCCCCTTTCCGAGGCCAGGCCCACACGGTGGGGGAAGACCGGCTTCAGCTGTGTCGAAAAACGTGGCTGGAGTCGATGTACCTCGAGCCCCACTTCGGCACCGTCCTTATAGCAGGAGGGCAGCAGGAGAAACGCTCCCGTCGGCTTCCCTTACGCCTCGCCAGGAGCCGCTGGGGGCGCCCCC